GTCTCTCCACGGTTCCAGGGGGCGCGTCTACAGGTGATTGGTGTCGGGTGAGGGCGAAAAATCTTCTGCACGTTTCTGTGTTCTGCCAGCAGAGCTCGAAAAAGTTGTATTGCTCCTGGGGCCGAGTGTTTCTTGGTAAAATATATGGTGTAAAAATTAATTCAAATTTTCTTACTAAATTTGGTAAAAAAACCTGAACTGTTTTATTATTAAATTAAGAAATTTAATTTTCCCGTTACATTGTACGGGAAGCGTTTTTCTACCAAATATAGTGTAAAATGCTGATCTTGTTTTTTTTTTTTATATCGTCAGTTTGTCATATGGGGCACTCGATCAAAGCTAAAAGTGATTTCCCATTTCCTGGAAGATGTCCAGAAGGGAGCAGTGCTGCGGGTCGTGTGTCCAACGTTGAAAGTCTAGCGGCCTGTCAAGATGATGGCCCACCCGGCCAAGATGGCGCCGACAACCCGCCTGGAGAGAAGGTGCTCGAGATCCGCCACTCGAACTCGGGCGGAGCAGAAGGGAGAGCACAAGGAGGCCGTGGTGCGACCCCATCTGGCGCGGACAGATGGTCTGACCGCCACGTCCACACGAACGAACTCTTCGGAGCAAAACCCCTTCTAGGTATAGATGAAAGGGAGGTTGGAACCGTGTGGTGCGCCGCATGCAGTCTCGTTGTGTTATGAATGACCAGAGTATCATGGGCATGACAGAAAATATGTGTATTTAAGAACTATTCAATTTCCCCGCTAAATTTAGCGGGAAAACCTTTATTTGTACGCCGGGCGTTCGGGAGACAAAAAAAAACGTGCTTTTCGGCCCGCGTGCATAAACTACGCATCGTAGAAAGATGGAATTCCTTGGAGAATGTGGCGCTAGGGGTTGTGATAGAACGCGAAAGTTTGAGAACATGACGTTACCTGGATCAAAAGGTAGAAGAAAAAGACAAAATCTCTGTTGGATTTCCACCTAAGCATAATAGCATTAAAACGAGAAATGACATTGTGGGCGCCTGTAGCATCTAATCAGGGCAAAAAAAGAGACTTGTCAGCATGAAAGAAATTAATATTCGCTTTCAAGTTAAGTTTTTTTCACTGTTATAAATGTCATGTGCGTCCAGGATCTCGGTTCTCGTTTTGACAATATTAGGCTTAGGTGGGCGTCGTCTTATGCGAAGCTCAAGTTCGTCTGCTTCTTTCGGAGGCGTTTTGTTCACGTCAGAACGCCGAGCTCTGATTGGCTCTGATTGAAGGATAGTGGGTAAACCTCAAAGCAAGCTGCCCTCGAGGTCTACCCACCATCCTTCAATCGGAGCCAATCGGATCTTGGCGTTCTGGTGTCAACAATATTCCTGCGAAAGAAGCAGACGAACTTGCGCTCCGCATAGAGAAATCTTGTGCTTTTGAATTATCGCTCGATCGAAGTAACGTCATGTTCTCAAACTTTCGCGTTTTGTACCAACCGCCAGACTCTAGAGTCACATTCTCACGGAATTTGAGCTCCCTGCGATGCTTATAGTTTTGTTACGCGGGACGAGAAACCTGTTTTAGAGCTCAGCTCTTATGCGCCCGTTTCCGGGTTGAGCGGCGTCGGCGTAACCGCGCGTTGCATTATGGGACGTTTCCCATAATGACGTCACGAGGGTAAAATGTACTCGATACTTTTGGCGGGAAAGTTTCCCGCTAAATTTAGCGGGACGTTTCTTATAATAGGGAGTTTTCGTATACCGCGTTTCCGCCTCCGCCAAGCCCTCCGCAACGAAGAAGCCGCAGCTGCGCCTGCGCGCCGATTGCATTAGGGAGTTTTCGTAGATCGTTTTGGCCGTCCCGCAACGCTCTTAGCAACCCGCTACGATACTCGGAACTCTGCAGTCAAGGCCATCGGCGCGCAGGCGCAGTAGCCGCTTCTTATTTGTGGAGGGCTTAGCGGAGGGGGAAACGCGGTCTGCGAAAAGTATTAGGGAGCTTTCGTAGACCGTGTTTCTCCCTCCGCTAAGCCCTCCGCAATGAAGAACTTGCTACTGCGCCTGCGCGCGGCTAGCATTGACTGTACAGTTCCGGGTATCTTAGAGGGTTGCGGAGGGCGTTGCGGGACGGCGAAAACGATCTACGAAAACTCCGTTCCGGTACAGTAGCGGGTTCCGGAGAACGTTGCTGGACGGCCAAAACAATCTACGAAAACTCCGTTCCGGTACAGTAGCGGGTTCCGGAGAACGTTGCTGGACGGCCAAAACGATCTACGAAAACCCCGTTCCGGTACCGTAGCGGGTTCCGGAGAGCGTTGCTGGACGGCCAAAACGATCTACGAAAACTCCGTTCCGGTACCGTAGCGGGTTCCGGAGAACGTTGCTGGACGGCCAAAACGATCTACGAAAACTCCGTTCCGGTACAGTAGCGGGTTCCGGAGAGCGTTGCTGGACGGCCAAAACGATCTACGAAAACTCCGTTCCGGTACAGTAGCGGGTTCCGGAGAACGTTGCTGGACGGCCAAAACGATCTACGAAAACTCCGTTCCGGTACCGTAGCGGGTTCCGGAGAACGTTGCTGGACGGCCAAAACGATCTACGAAAACTCCGTTCCGGTACAGTAGCGGGTTCCGGAGAACGTTGCTGGACGGCCAAAACGATCTACGAAAACTCCGTTCCTGTACAGTAGCGGGTTCCGGAGAACGTTGCTGGACGGCCAAAACGATCTACGAAAACTCCGTTCCGGTACCGTAGCGGGTTCCGGAGAACGTTGCTGGACGGCCAAAACGATCTACGAAAACTCCGTTCTGGTACCGTAGCGGGTTCCGGAGAACGTTGCTGGACGGCCAAAACGATCTACGAAAACTCCGTTCCGGTACAGTAGCGGGTTCCGGAGAACGTTGCTGGACGGCCAAAACGATCTACGAAAACTCCGTTCCGGTACAGTAGCGGGTTCCGGAGAGCGTTGCTGGACGGCCAAAACGATCTACGAAAACTCCGTTCCGGTACAGTAGCGGGTTCCGGAGAGCGTTGCTGGACGGCCAAAACGATCTACGAAAACTCCGTTCCGGTACCGTAGCGGGTTCCGGAGAACGTTCTGGACGGCCAAAACGATCTACGAAAACTCCGTTCCGGTACCGTAGCGGGTTCCGGAGAGCGTTGCTGGACGGCCAAAACGATCTACGAAAACTCCGTTCCGGTACAGTAGCGGGTTCAGGAGAACGTTGCTGGACGGCCAAAACGATCTACGAAAACTCCGTTCCGGTACCGTAGCGGGTTCCGGAGAGCGTTGCTGGACGGCCAAAACGATCTACGAAAACTCCGTGCCGGTACAGTACCGGGTTCCGGAGAACGTTGCTGGACGGCCAAAACGATCTACGAAAACTCCGTTCCGGTACCGTAGCGGGTTCCGGAGAACGTTGCTGGACGGCCAAAACGATCTACGAAAACTCCGTTCCGGTACAGTAGCGGGTTCCGGAGAACGTTGCTGGACGGCCAAAACGATCTACGAAAACTCCGTTCCGGTACAGTAGCGGGTTCCGGAGAGCGTTGCTGGACGGCCAAAACGATCTACGAAAACTCCGTTCCGGTACAGTAGCGGATTCCGGAGAGCGTTGCTGGACGGCCAAAACGATCTACGAAAACTCCGTTCCGGTACCGTAGCGGGTTCCGGAGAACGTTCTGGACGGCCAAAACGATCTACGAAAACTCCGTTCCGGTACCGTAGCGGGTTCCGGAGAGCGTTGCTGGACGGCCAAAACGATCTACGAAAACTTCGTTCCGGTACAGTAGCGGGTTCCGGAGAACGTTGCTGGACGGCCAAAACGATCTACGAAAACTCCGTTCCGGTACCGTAGCGGGTTCCGGAGAGCGTTGCTGGACGGCCAAAACGATCTACGAAAACTCCGTGCCGGTACAGTAGCGGGTTCCGGAGAACGTTGCTGGACGGCCAAAACGATCTACGAAAACTCCGTTCCGGTACCGTAGCGGGTTCCGGAGAGCGTTGCTGGACGGCCAAAACGATCTACGAAAACTCCGTTCCGGTACCGTAGCGGGTTCCGGAGAGCGTTGCTGGACGGCCAAAACGATCTACGAAAACTCCGTTCCGGTACCGTAGCGGGTTCCGGAGAGCGTTGCTGGACGGCCAAAACGATCTACGAAAACTCCGTTCCGGTACCGTAGCGGGTTCCGGAGAGCGTTGCTGGACGGCCAAAACGATCTACGAAAACTCCGTTCCGGTACAGTAGCGGGTTCTGGAGAGCGTTGCTGGACGGCCAAAACGATCTACGAAAACTCCGTTCCGGTACCGTAGCGGGTTCCGGAGAGCGTTGCTGAACGGCCAAAACGATCTACGAAAACTCCGTTCCGGTACCGTAGCGGGTTCCGGAGAGCGTTGCTGGACGGCCAAAACGATCTACGAAAACTCCTTAATGACGTCGCACGTGACGTCACGTGACGTCACGTGACGTCACATGCAAACTTTCACGTGACGTGTCACGTGACGTCACACGCCACGTCACACGTTAATTTAGCAGAAAATGTTCCCGCTAAATTTAGCGGAAAATTTACCCGCTTAATTTAGCGGGAAAATTTACCCCCTAAATGGGAGGGGACCAGGAGAGGAGGATGGGAGGGCACGGAGGGGGAGAAGGGGCATATCTTCCTCTCTGTACCCTCCCCTGCCCCTCCTCAAGAGCTGCGCTCCAATTCGGCATTACAGAGAATTGTAAACGTCAATATGTTTTCCAGCGAACTTTTGGATTACTAGGGAGTTTTCGTAGATCGTTTTCGCCATCCCGCGAGGCCCTCTGCAACCCGCTACGATAGCGGGAACTCTACAGTCAAGGCTATCGGCGCACAGGCGCAGTAGCAACTTCTTCGTTGCGGAACACTTAGCGGTGGGGGCAACGCGGTTTATGAAAGCTCCCTAATTATGCACAACGGCGTTGTGCTGAGTCAAACCGAAAGCGTCGTGCTCGACGGACGTCTGAAAAGGTGCAAAGGGCCCTAAGTTGCAGTCACTCTAGCAATAATAAAAAAAAATGTTTTTTTTATTAGGTAGTGTTTTGATTTTACGTGACGTACTTTTCAGTCTTGCGAGAAATGGCTTTCATAAGCTTCGCCTCGACGCCCAGAAGCACCGAGAGCAGCGAAAAACCCAGCCATATTCCGATGTAACCACCGAAGAACCCGAAGGCTTCGATGACCTGCAGGGGGGAATCAATAAGGCGACAGTCAAAACAAATCTACAGCAAACCTCGTAAATATATATGAATGTATATCACGAAAAAAAAAAAGATATTCTGCCTCGAAAGATGTGCCATATTCGAGTTGGAATGGCCACCTTGAAATCAAGAAGCGGACTCTGTATCATTCCATTCATTCATTCATTCTCACGGACCTATTTACAAGCAGTCATTGCATTAGCCGCAAAAGAAATAATGGCAAGGTCTCTCACCGGTAGATTAGGCTGGTATTCGGAGACCTTTTGCGTGTCCGAAGAAAACTTGATGATGAACGAGAATTTGTCCCTGGGGGATTTGAAGAAAACAAACTGCAATTAGTAAGCCAAAATGTATTTCCTTCATTATTATTGCATCAAATATCTATGGATTATAACAATATATACAGGCCCTTCTGCAAATCTCAAACATATGCTGGCCTTTTTTTCCTTAGCTTTAAAGCACTCCTTCTTTGTGCTCCCCGATAGGTTACAAGGCTGCGCGCAATGCCCCCAACCTACGAAGGCCGGTGTGCTGGAGTTCCTTTGTTTCCTCCCGGAGGCCAACGTGGGGCATAGAATAAACACAAGTGTTGCATTGAACCAGCACATAACTAGAATGATCAAGGCCTGCGGACATCGCCCTCTTCCTTCATGAAACGTCATCACGGTCGGATTGCGCCGACGCAGCAATTGGACCCGAGCCCGATGACTAGCGGCTATCGACGCGTTGTCTGGACGCAAGGCCCAGTTGAGCACCGACGCGTCACTCGTGTCCACCTGTGTCTTCGCTCGATTCCGCTCTGATGACGCCAAAATTCGGGTGCACAGGCCTTATCCATCCTGGGTGGCCTGGGCCCGAACGCTCACGCTGTACTCACGCCCAATCTCTGTCCCACGCTGGCCTACGGCAGGTGACGTATAAAATCTAACGCCGTGGCCTGGCTATCTGACTGTTGCTAGACATTTTTCATTCTCTTCCTTTGCCTTCGGCGCTATATGTTAGATCAAGGTAAACAATACCAGACATAAGTGGCTGCGCCGGAGATGGTTCGGCACACAGATGAAGGCGACTTTTTTTTTGAAGCAAATGGTGAATAATCTTTTTTTTTTACTCACTTGCCCGTTCCGTAGGTCGACTGACAGGGGAGTAAATTGTGAAAACTTCGCATAAAATAGTATACGTAAAAAAGGAGTTTATTGGAGTTTTCGGTTTTTATCCTCTTACCTTGTCAACAGCTAGACTGCTCAGCTTCAAGTCGTACCTAATTTCTCTGCAAACCATTAAAGAAAAAAAAAAGAAAAAAAAAACATATACACATCCGGCATTATGAGCAAGCTGTATTCCACAATAATTTTTTCTAAGTACATAGAACATCGTGAAAGGTTTCTTTTTTTTAGTTTTTAACACAAAACTTAAACGACGATTCGGGGGTTTTTGACTCAGGTGCAACATTCGACACCAACCAATGTTTACAAAATTGAGCATGGAATGCAGTCGACTTCATCTAATTTAGTTTGTGCTGAGTGATTAAAGAACGCCTTCCAGTCATGTTTCGTGCTGCTATTGAAGACAATATTATATATGAAATAATATAACAAATTCATTAGCGCGCGTGTCATTTTAAATTAGGGTTCAGAGCGACTTTTGTTTTCTCTTCAAAACTTATCAGGTAACAAAGCCAACTTGTCATTCTGAGCGAACACCTCAAACGAAGGCTCGTAGAGACTATAGCATTTATAGAAAACCTTTAACCCCCCCATTCCCATGTCCGATGCTGAGGCTCACATTCCCCGCCAGTGTAGTGGACACGTGCTGACTCCTCCAACGTCTCCAGTGCCAAGGCCAACATTCCCCGCCAGACTGAAACCCTTTGTACCCTGTCACGTCTGCATGCTTTGCTTGTCAACCAGAGTACATCCATTGTCGCCAGACTGGCGCAGTGGGCTTCACCGGTGGCCCATATAGCCATGACTTCCTCGGTAGGAGAGTAGTCATAAAATGCTCGGTGGGCGAGTAGTCATAACATTCTTGGTAGGAGAGGGGGCGGGGGAAAGATGGTTCGGGGGCTATTTAAGTGAAGCAAGCGGGCGTTGGGGTAGTCTTCGTGGAGGGAGTCTACAAGCGGCAGCAGTCACCGGAAGAACGGGTTTTGGGCAACGGAGCTTCAGTCACGAAACTGTTTGATTGCACTTGCTGCGTTGTGTGACTTTCGGCTTCATTGACTCGGGCGTCGCACGAGGTCAAGGACCCTAATAATTCAGGTGACTCGAAATCATTTTATGATTTCACAAATAATGCTAATATCATGTCATGTCCTACCTCAGGGCAGTAGTACTTTCAACAACAAATGCACGGCTGGGTTCGCCGTCACCTCAATATATAGGGTGTTATGAATCAAGAGGTCAGCCTTAAAATAAATTGGGAAAACACGGGGCCTGAATGTAACGACGTTTTCCTAAAAGGTAACGAAAATGTCCTAAAAGCTAAATTTTAGTGGTGAATTTTACTTTGCAAACTTTTCAGGCACAACTTTGTTCCTGTAAAGAATTGGAACATCCTTGAGACTTAAAACGACGAACGATGAGGCAGACGAGAGTCTAAGTGAGAGTCGGGCTCGTGACGCCCCCTCCAGTCAAGCGCATAAAGCACTCGGTTTAAAACAGAACTTTGTCGTCTGCTGTCGACCGAGTGTTTGATGCGCTTAACGAAAAATGGAGCCACAAGCATGGTTCTCGGTCTTCGCCTGTCAATAAGCATATCAAGGCCGTTCCAATATTTTACATGAAAATAGCTATGTCTTAAACTTTCTAACCTGCCATAGGTCAATTTCCTTCTAAATCGTGCACGAAAAAGGGGTCGTCGCGAAAAAAAAAAGACTTTTTAGAGTATATATATATATATATATATATATATATATATATATATATATATATATATATATATATATATATATATATATGTATATGTATATATATATATGCTGCAACGGCTGCAGCGAGAGGGCATCGTGGTGTCCGTCAAGACCTCCGAGTGGGCTGCACCGATCGTTCCAGTCCTCAAGCGAGACGGCCGCGTCAGGATCTGCGGGGACTTTAAAGTCACCATCAATCCCGTCGCTACCGTCGAGAAGTACCCGCTGCCTCGGGTAGAAGACCTCTGGTCGGCTCTGTCCGGGGGACAAAAGTTCTCCAAGCTCGACCTTCGAGATGCCTACCAGCAGCTGGTGCTCCAGGATGCCGCCCGGAAGTATGTCACCATTTCAACAACCATGGGACTCTTCCAGTACACGCGCCTACCGTTCGGCGTGGCCTCAGCCCCAGCCATCTTTCAAAGGGAGATGGACAACCTCTTCAGGGGTATGAGGCACGTGGCGGTGTACTTGGACGACATCCTGGTTACCGGTACCGACGACGGGGACCATCTGCAGAACCTGCGCAAGGTCCTGACACGATTGCAGGACGCCGGTCTCAAGCTGAGGCTGGACAAGTGTGTGTTCGTGATCCCCAGCGTGGAGTACCTGGGACACAGCACCTCCCAGGCTGGCCTGGACCCGGCTCCCCGCAAGATTGAGGCCGTGCTCAAGGCGCCGAAGCCCAAGAGCAAGAAGGAGCTTCAGAGCTACCTCGGCCTCGTCAACTTCTACAGGAGGTTCCTGCCCAACCTGTCGACACATCTGGAGCCGCTGCATCGCCTGCTTCGTGATGGACAGCAGTGGGCCTGGAATAAGGAGCAGGACTTGGCCTTCCAGCGCAGCAAGGAGTTAGTCGTCAAGGCTCCGGTGCTGTGCACTTCGATCCGGCCAAGCCTGTGGTCCTCACCGTGGATGCGTCGCCGTACGGGGTAGGAGCCGCCCTGTGGCGTTTGCTTCTCGTCGGCTTCATGCGGCGGAGCAACGCTACAGCCAGCTCGACAAGGAAGGCCTGGCGCTCATATGCGGGGTCCAGCGCTTCCATCAGTACCTGTGGGGCCGGCAATTCGAGGCGGTCACGGACCACAAGCCGCTGCTGGGGCTGCTGGGGCCTGACAAGGCAGTCCAAGTACAACCCTCGCCTCGTGTGGTACGCTGGGCCTTGACGCTGGCTGCCTACAGCTATAAGCTGGTCTACCGCCCTGGGAAGGACCTGGGACCTGCCGACGCCCTGAGCCGCCTGCCCCTGCCGGAGGTGCCTGCTGCCGTTCCAGAGCCGGCTGACGTGTTCCTGCTGGAGCGGGCCTACCCGGGGGTGCTTACCAGGACTGCGGTGGCGCAGGCGACCAGCCGGGACCCGGTTCTGTCTCAGGTGGTCAAGGCGGTTGCACGAGGGGAAGAGCTGCGTCACCAGACGTACAGCCACAAGACCGCCGAGCTGAGCTTGGAGCAGGGCTGCCTGCTGTGGGGTTCCACGGTGGTGATTCCACAAAGTCTCCGGTTCAAGGTCCTGCAGTTGCTGCATGCGGGGCATCCTGGCATTGAAAAGACCAAAATGATGGCACGGTCGCACGTTTGGTGGCCTGGCTTGGACCAGGACATCGTGCACCAGGTGCAAGGCTGCCATGTCTGCCAGGAGAACCAGCGAGCCTCGCGCCACGTGGAGATCACCCCTGGCCGTTCCCACAGAGGCCGTGGTCCCGCTTGCACGTGGACTATGCGGGACGCTTCAAGGGCCACTACTTCCTGGTGGTAGTGGACGCCTCCTCCAAGTGGTTGGAGGCACTGCCAGTTACCAGTCCATCGGCAAGCGCGACCATTGCGGCTCTGCGGCAGGTCTTCGCGGCGCAGGGATTGCCGGACATTATTGTGTCCGACAATGGTCCCGCTTTCGCTAGCGCCGAGTACCTGGACTGGCTGCAGAGGAATGGGATCCGCCGGATGCTGGTTCCGCCGTACCACCCTGCTTTCAATGGTGCAGCTGAGCGGGTGGTCCAGACCATCAAGGACAAGCTCAAGAAGAGCCAGCCCGGGGATTTCCGGACGCAGGAGGCCCGGGTACTGTTCCAGTACCGGACCACCCCCCATGATGTCACTGGCCGTGCCCCCTGCGAGCTTCTGCTGGGCCGGATGGTCAAGACACCCTTGGGCGTCTTGCATCCAGACCTCCGGTCCACGTCGCTCCTGAAGCAGCTGAAGCAGAAGCTGGCTGCTGACCGAGGGCGCCGTCCCGGGCCTTTGCCGGAGCCGGGAGCATCGGTCTATGCCAGGAACTTCCGTCCTGGCCCACCCTGGTCTGCCGGACATGTGGTTTCACCAGCGAGTGCCTCATCGCTGCTCGTCCGCATGCCCGACGGGACCACCTGGCACCGGCACGCCGACCATGTCAGGCCTCGCTCCGGGACCTGGCTTGCACCCTCGGCCGTCACTTCAGAGGACCAGCCCGCAGGGGGACCAACGACAGCACCAGTTGCGGCCAGTGGAGCGCCACCCACCACGGAGGCAACAAGAGTCTCCAGTCCTGCAGCACCAGTTGGACCGGTGCCACTCCCCAATCCGGTCCCTGCAGCTCCACCGGGTGGAGCGCGACCGGTACAGGCAGCGCCCGGCGTTGCCGCACCCGGCCCGTCGACTCCAATGCCCAGGCGGAGTACGCGGCAGCGATGGCCACCTGATCGCTACTCGCCGGGGTGATCTTCATCGTCGACCGGCCAGGACTTTGCATGACCAGACGCCGAGTTGGTGTCGGCCGTGCGCGTTGTTTATTCTTTCATTTTGTTTTTAGAAAAAACAAACTGGGGGGAGGGATGTGACCAGTCGGTAGCGCCCCCTCCAGTCCGCCCGTCTGTGGCCGCCAGGCTCGGCGGGCAACATTGATCACCGCGCCCAATAAACGCCGTTGAGCGCACGCCGCTCCGGTCAGTCATCGTCCACCCTCACAACCAGGCTGCTGCGTGTCGTCTCTTCTCGGCGGGTGCTTCGGCCCCCTTCGTCCACGTTCGAGAAAGATCGTGACAATATATATATATATATATATATATATATATATATATATATATATATATATATATATATAAACAAATATGTGCAGATGAATGAACCGTACTTAATCCAATGAATCAAAGAATCAAAGTTTCCAGGAACTCGCCGAAAGCCAAAAATTGGCGGAGCCAGGATATATATGTATATATATCAGGGATGGGCAAAATACATGCAAATATGTATCGAAATACAAATACAAAATACTTCGTCCAAAATGTATTTAAATACAAATCTAATTACATTTCCAAAAAAGAATTTAAATACAAGATACAAATACAACCAAATGTATTTGGTGTCCTCCAAATACTTTCCCAAATACA